CCCAAAAATCATTTAAGACCTCCACATTTTCGCGAACACTCAGTCTCAGTTCGGAATTACTTACTACTCTTACAATTACGAACGATTTAGATATATCGTTGTTAGACTCGACGATTACGTCAAAGTTCAATCGGCTCGTGTCTCTGTTCAGTCGAACTCTTTCTATATTCTGTTTTAATTTCTATATTACACGTTGGACAACAATCATATTATCAGTCGTATAACTAATATTACAGTATCTTTGCAAGAAGAAACAATATGATTTATGGAAAGGCATCGCCGCATTATGTCACCGTGCCTCTCCATTTGGTAACGGGAGTCGCTTCCAAAGTGTATCAATCCAACCGCGTCCCCCTGACAGTAGTCGCACAAAAATCGCTCATAAATCCCTCAGTTACCCTCCCAGGCCCCTTTTCCATCCTCCATTCGACGCTCCCCTCTAAAAGAGAACAATCTCCCCTGTTCTCCATTCCGCCTGCAGATACCGTCACCGTCGATCCTCCGTACGAACGAGCAATCGTACAAAGGCCATGGTCCGAACGACTCCAGCGACAAAGAGGTCTCTCGCGGTAATCAGAGATCAGATGTCAAATCAGACGCAGCCCGTTCATCGAACGGCTCCGGCTCCTCGCTGATTATCGAGATGCAATTTCACGAACGGAGTGGGGGTGGCTGGGAAGAGCGAAAGAGAAGCGGAGCGGAAGATTCAGCGGAAAAACGAGAAGAACAAAAGACACCCTGGATAGAGCCAGGGCAACAACCGATCTGAACTCGGAACCGGAGAAGAGATGAGAGAAAGAGAGATCGAGAGAGTTCGATCAGCGAGGGCAGCTCCTCTGAGACAAGACGGTATTAAGTAACCTGAAGCGTCTCTTATCGAACATCTCTCCCCAGGGTTTCGTCGACGCAACCGTGTCCCTCCTCTTCCCGTACTCTCCCGGGGTTCAGAGAAATTTTCCTCGCGGACGTCGCCTCTCTCCGCGTCAGTTAGACGGCCACCAAGCCTAGCTCACGGAGATAGATTTTACGCAAGAATCTCGGCACGGGGAACGGCGAATTACGGATAATAAAGGAGATTGACTCTAAATTACAAAGTCCGTTGCAGACAGCAGCCGGTTGAATGCCTCTCAGGCGCAGAAGCGTCGCCAAATCGGTTTTACGGTCGGCAGGTGGTCCGACTGCTCTTCTCCTGCACTTACGACGACACTTCCACACCCACCAACCCCCTGTCCTCTACCTCCGCCCCACGTTCTCCTTTCTCTATTAATTGTTACCGTAGCGCGTCTGCTCGAGTCGAGCTGATGCGCCCCCAACCACCCCCATCCACTTGGCGCCCTTCCTGCCGCTCTAATTACGCAATTAAAAGAAAGTTAATCCGCGTCGAAGCGATTGGGACGACACGCGGGGACGCGTAAACAAACGACGCTGTGGAATCGGCTGATGCTGGCAGCGGCGACGAACGGAGAGTCGGAGAGAGAGAGAGCAGGCGACGAGTAATTTAACGGTCGACGAGATTTATTAAAATTTTTTCGGTCCAGGCATGCGGGCGGCCCGCCCAAGCCCTCGACTAAACGGTTCTTTGTGCCTCCGGGAGGGGCGGGGTGGGTACCTCTTTGTGAGTGCGCGGACGAATTTCCCCTCGCGGCGCCTCCAATTTCCAGGCTTGTATTCTTTGTATTCTTGTAATTATAAACACGGCCGCGGCGGAACGAGGGAGGGGGGAGACTCTTGAAACTTTTCTTGCCAATAGAAGGTCCTTTTGTGCGGGACGCTTGCACGGTTAAAGGCGATTTTGAACGGGAATACGGTGAATTCCTTCGGGGAGGGAGGTGGAACTCGACCGCCATTTTGGAGCGGAAGACTGTGTGCAGGAAGTTGTTTCTTTATTGCGGGAATTAAGAGGTTGACATGGGTACGGTTCTCTTCGAATATTATCGTCTTTGTGCAGGTTAATCTTTTTAATTTTTCGATACGAGTTTCAGGATCTTTTGCAGGATACAATAGTAAAACTATATTTTCAGTAAATATTGTTAACCCTTCGTTATCCTACTGCGTCAAATTAACCCAGAATTTGATTTTGATGTAAAATTTAATTTTGGAGCAGCATTGGAAGTGGTACTACTGGCGGCATGTGGTAGTAATATCAGGTATACTAGGAAAACTTTTTTTCGGAATTTTGACTTTTTTCAAGAATGTTTTTAACGCATTGACGAATAATTTTTACACAACAGCTGATTGAATATTGGCACGGGTCAAGTTGACAATTACGTTTGAGAAAAGATGGGCGACAACGGAAGGTTAATATTAAAATAAATATGAGTATTTTAACGTGTCCAATACAATTAAGGCACTGCAAGCACGGGCGAATTGGTCGTTTGAGGAAGCCTCTCTCGTCTAATCCACAAAGAAAAGTTTGCTGAGGCATAAAGAACTCCCCTGGCGGTCCATAGGGTTTCAAATCTCACAAACAGAAACTACTTGGCCGAGAAATGGTTACAATTAGACTGAAAGAGAATTCGGCCGCGATGCATCGTTGAAAAAAATCCCCCCTTTTCCGAGTAGCACAAAGGGTGGCCAGGGTAAAAAAATTCGGGATTTCGAACTGAAATGAAAAATTCTGCTTTCTCTCTGTCTTTCGACTGACCTACTTCACAGAATCATCAAGAGCTCCGAAAAATACATCCAGAAACCCGGAAATATATCCGTGATAGTTTCGAAAGGGTGCAAAGACCGGAGCCCTCGCTCAAAGAACGATCAAACCGTTCGATCGTGGAAGGATCTACGTTCCGTTAAATTAATCGTGGCCCATTGAAGCGGACCGAAAAATTTCATCCTTTCGGAAACTCCTCTCGCCTCGTAGTAGAAGGCTAAATCGAAAACAGCTCGAGGATCCTTTACGTCGGGCACACAGAGGCGTTTCTAATGAAATAAATTTCGTTCCTTCTCGAAACTGGGCCACGGCGTCTTCTAATACCGAGCCGAGACGTAATACCACGTCTCCGGTGGAATTGTATCTACATAGGAGGTGAGCTACCTAATGTTACCATCAGTGATAAACTTGGAATAATTAAAATTCCAAATATTCCAGAACTTCGTGGAATATTTGACAGGACTATTAGCAAGTGGAAAGACGAATTCGTATATGTGGATTAACAAAAGCAGAAAAGATTCGTTCGAGTTTCGTATGAGATGAACTTCACCCCTGACTCGACGAAAAATTCATCAAACATAATACAGTTAATTTGACACCGACAGTGACTGTAAACTCTACTTCTTCAGAATTAGGAATCCTCGGAACTTCATTTCTCGCTAATTCATAATTTAATATTCCCTCCCTAGCAATATCATTTTCGAAAACATTGTTCCCCCGTATTAAGCATCGCAGCATGTTCATGGCTCGCAGAAGTTTGCCCCCACTTCTCCACTCCGAATTCCATCTCAAACAAAACGGCCAAAGGAGCCGCGCGCGAGATCGAACCGTTTCACCTGGAACGGGGATGGGCGGACGGTTTCTTGGAAGAATAGGATCAAAGGACACCGAAAAACTCGTTCGAATCGTTCAACCAGCCTTCTAGTTCACGTACGCCTATAACCCCCGGCGCGGGGGTTGTGACGTGTGTACGTGTGCGTTGGTCGCGCGGGCGAGATGCGTAAAGATCGCGGCGGTGGAAACGCGAAATTCCCCCTCCGCAAAAGGATCGAAGCTCGGATGCGAAACACGAAGGGGGAGGTGGAACGGTAGAAACAAGCCGGAGGGCGGCGAGGCTCGATAAAGGAAGGATATACGTAGTGGTTTAACCGCGATGGTAAAAGTGCAGCGGAGAGATATCCGACCGGTAGCTCCGACACGTCGAGACGCTTGGAACGGAGGCCGAGCTTACACAAAGGATAAAGAGGGGGTAGGACGAAGGGGAGGGGTTACGATGCAGCCGGTGAAGACGTGGTGGAGGAAGACGAAGAAGAGGAAGAAGAAAAAGAAGAAGAAGTAGAAGAACGTAGTAAAACGGAGGCGAAAAGGGGTTGCGGAGGGAGAGACAGGGAGGCCACTGGAGAAGGCCGATGGAAGTGCTGGAGGGCTGGGGGATGGGGGTTGGAGAGGAAAGGGTGGTTAGAGGCGAAAGATACGCGGCGGAAGCTACGAGAGAAGGCTCGGCTTGGGAGTAGATTTTACCAAGGTGGAAGCCGGATAGATTCGAACGGCGTGGGCGAGACGAGACACGGAGGGGGGTAGAAGAAGCGGGGATGGGACGCGCTATACGAACCGATGTCCCTTGAGGTCAGCCTAGCGTGACTACCTATCAATTGCCGAGACTGCGTCTAGCCCTCCTAAGTGACGCGATGCTGGATATACCCCTGCCGCCTCCGATATTCCACAGACACTACAACCCACCGACGTCGATTTTCCGTAAATACGCCGAGATAGCGTCATCCCGTGTGTACGTGCCCGGTCGCGAGACACGCTTTCCGGGCTTTTTATTGGGACGTCGCGGGCGATGCTTGTTTCCTACGATCCTCGTGAAATTTAGAGGAGATAGGCTAGAACGGACAGAGAGAGAGAGAGAGAGAGATGGGTCGAGGGAACGGAAGGTAGAGGTCTGGGTGAAACGAGGTGTATAATGGTTGCTTGAAAAATTTTAGAATCTTCAGCCCCATATACAAGGAAATAATACATCGACTTCCTTTATTTAGAAGACACTGGTGTTGTCATCGTGAACAAGATATGGACCGGGTGAATACTTTCTTCTAACTAAATTGACGTTCAAAAAGAAGTCCATTTCCAGCCTAACAATTCTTCCCAATCCTATCAGCATCCATTTACCTCGAAACAGTCGTTTCGTGTTCGCGTGGCCTCACCAGCCATCCGAAAATCACCGTCTAGGAATGTTTTCACGGTATTCGAGCACTTAAGAGTCCCTGGCGCGGCGTGTCCCGGTTCACCAGCGGAAGCGAGTCCGCGCGTCTGCGGTGTTTACACGCTCCCATCGGCGCAACGGCTGAAAACAGTCCCCCGTCTGACGTTCCTTTCCAGTTTCTCGCTAGCGATAACATATCTGAGATCTTGGCGGGCGCTGGTTTGTTTTCGCTCCGCTCGCGAGAGAGCCACGCTCGCTCCGGCTGACAGCGTGTCCTTTCCACTCCCGCCACCACGCGAGACGCTGCGTTAACAAACGTATCACGCTATTCGGATCACGTTAATTAATCGTGACGGCAAGGGTTGAAAGCCCGACCCGGCGGTTTCGTGCCGACTTCGACACGCGCGTTAAGCGATCTTTAATCGGAGCGGACGTGACACTGCGA